GCGGGAAGCTCCAGATTTTTGTATCCTCGAATCACTAAATAAAATAAACAAGTTAAATATACTGAAAACCGAAATGCACGATGAAAATTCACAGTGAAATTTCCGAAAACGTAACAGATACGGGATAAAAAGCAAAGAAGAAACGGAACAAATTAAAACTACGTCTAGTAAAAAAAAAAATCGAAAAAGATTTGTCAAAAAAGCTAACTTTAAAATATTACCTCGTGTAACATACAGATAGAAAAAATCGACGTAAAGTACAGTTTGTACAACACCAGCAACAGTTGCAATAGGATCGAAAAATTCTTCAGTGTAATAACGATATATCCAGTTCAAGATATATAAAGCGCGATATGTCCCCAGCGCAAATAAATAATGAGCAGTAATTGTTTCCGCACTCCCAGTACGTGAAAGCATGAATAACTGAGGCATAATGGCAACTGCTTCCAAATATATGGAGAATGACCAGGCAATCTAGTTAACAAAAAATAGTAATAAGAAAAAATAAAACAGACAATTATAAAACCATTTGGCTACATACTGCAACAAAATCCGATTCACCATTATCGAACGGTATATCGCTGGCATACCGTTCATTACAAATTATAATCTAAATACCTAGTGATATTTTGAGGGAAAACTTCACCAATGAATGATGATGACACGCAACGCTTACTACTATTTTTTGGGAATGTAACTGACAAAACCTACAAAGATTACTTTTTTGGCTTTACTATTTTGATTACAATGGTTTTATTACTAGTAATCATTGTATTTCTTGGTTTCAACTGATACCGTATATATCTCAACTTCATCCTATTCAAGCTGAGAATATTCCTAATAATTCGCCAAAAATTATTAGTCCTTTGGCCCAGTGCCCCCTCTCTGCAACCCTAAAATTAGATCTAATTAGTAAGGAAAGTTTCGAAATTAAGCTTAATCTCAAGAAACTAATAAATGCTATCCAAAATAAATTCAAAACTGCTGCATGAAAAACAGGTGCAACTCTGAAATACATTTTCTAAAACACCAAGAAAACACAATTCACCTCCATAAATGAAAACTGATGGTTGATGAGAAAAGCAAGTATTGTTGCAGGAATAACCAAGAATTCAATCCGAAATGTATCGTGACTCCTGAAATGGGGTAAAAAAATATTTTGAATTAACTTACGGAGACAAAATCTGAGCAAAATTCTTAAATGATTAGAAGCAAAGCAAACACCTAATAAAAAAAGAGAACAAAAAATCACAACTTCCGGAACAACATTATGGAAACTTGTCAGACTTTTCATTCACAAATAAGACATCACTGAATTCAACAATATTCAATTAAAATTACAGGATTTTTCTCAAAGAAAGAAAATCTTACCGATCATAAGTCGCTCTGAACTTGAAAAACATCAGATAGACTGTTCCATATGAAGATACAAGGAAAAAGATCTGAAAACATGCAACCTGCCGGCAAACGATTTTGACAATCTTACTGATGATAATCAGAAATAAAAAAATAAAGAAAAATGCTTTAGAACGAAACAGAGTTTGTAAAAAAAAATTGATATAACGAGTGAAAAGAAATAATAAAAATAAGAAAGACATCTGCTTATTAATATAAATTACCCCTGCACACCTTATATTTATTATTAATGCATTGTTTCATGGAAAAGTTGAGTCGCAATTTCATATAATGCACCTACATCAATGGACTTCTACAATCTCGACCTATGCGAGTTCTGCTATAGTGTACAAGTAAAAAAAGAATTATATAGTGGCTATCGATTCTATACAGTGGATCTGTCCATTTCTAACTATTAGCTAAGACTTCACCAATCATTTAAAAAATAGATATTATCCATTATTTAGTCATAATAATTTACTAACAATTCTAATACATTTGAATGCAAAATGTACTGCCAATAGTCAAACCTGCATACCTTCATAATAGTATTATATGATGAAATGAAATGGAAGAGATCTAAATAACGCGATGTGAAAACGAATGCAAATAAAAGCTGTGATTTTCCAGAAAGTCCTGAAATTATCTTATTCCTTTTGATGCACAGCAACACCAAAAGTATGTAGGACCTTGATAAAGTTTCGATTACATTAAAAATTTCTTACTTACAAAGTTATTAAATTTACAAACCTGCACAAGAACGTGTTTTCCATATTTTTACAATCAGTATTAGAATAGCAATAAGATGAGAAAAATCACCCGCAAAACGAAATATATTCATTTTAGTCAGATAATAAAATCTGTTATATGGGATGTGAGAACTTTCTGCACTGGTTATCTATCGACACCCTGCTTTACAACTGACAATTGCGATTCCTAATTTATAGAAAAGTGTCAATCAATATTCAAACATAACAGTAATTTCCTAAAGCGCCAATAGTGATTACACCGGAATAATAACATATGTGTTCCGGAATACACTAAAAATAAAAGAATTAAAAAACCTAAACAGAATAAATGATCAATGGATGTTTGTGTGTTACTTAACACTCCACAGAAAGAAATAGTACTGACAAAGGCATTCATCCTATCTGAACGAACAAGACATCTAAAAGAAGCAATCATTTTTACCTCACGGAACAAAACGACAACAACACAACATCTCATAGTCCAAAACACTCAACAACGGTCCAATCAAATCTCCAAATTATACCGAGGAACGAATGCAAAATTTAAATCCCGATAATTTAAAGGAAACATAGGGGGAGACATTGTGACTGCATTTCCAGATTATCTAGATTACCTATCTTAGCTCGTCGGTACAGCAGTCTGTCGGAATGACGGTGGTTTAAAATTTCTAAAAATATTTTAAATCTTAAAATAAAAAAAAACGTCGATTTTAAAACGAAGCGTTAACGATATACGGAAGTGTCAGAAAGTGAAATTTTTATATATTATATATAATAAGTCATCGAAAAAGTTTTTTATATAATATTATATATAATAATTCATCGAAAAAAAAGGCTTCAGTAAAGGTAGCACACGGCTTTCTTTCATTCACTTTTTTTGATAAATCCAAGTTTAAATACAAACTAATCTCCAATCAATTTTCAAACCGCAAACTGAATTTCTCATTTCTGAATGATTATAAATCGTCTTAAGACAAATCTCTAATTTTAACATAACAAATATAAGTTCATGGATTTTACCAACCATACAATAAGTATAGCAGCGAAAAAAATGCATAATACTCCCGTAACTAGCACGATAAGCGCCACTCAACATAGAAGACAACGGTCACATTGCAACAATCAGCGGGAGGGATACCAAGTTGGTCAAGGGTGCAATTACAAACCAATCCACCGACACCACTGGGATTCGTCATTGACTCAAGGTGACGATTACATACTCCTTTTCACTTTAAGTCAATGTTCCCGACTCTTTTTTATATATACATATAGCTCATTTTTAAGTTTTATGTAGCCTATTTAAGAAAAAAAATTATAAAATTTGAGGGCTACCAATCGACAAATCTTTCCGAGCATTATGTTCCACTGCTGAAACTTGTGATTATTATTTTAAGACAATAAACATAATGAAATAAACGGCATTATTCATATGGCTATTTAGATTCCATCAGGAATTATAAAAAAACAAAAATAAACCATAAAGTGACAATTTACACAGAAGACATGCAACTTTCAGCCCTGTGCAATAGTTTATCAGCAACAGAAGTCTGTATTTTTGAAATTTCAAAGGTAAACAGAGCTGTATTTAGTGTACGGGTAAGTAGGAATGCATATAACCATGTTTTGACAGTAACTATGAAAATAATGTTCCTAAACTGTAAAAATTTAGGATAGTCATGGAAACACTGAGGAAAATGTATTTGATGATACACATTCTGTTGCATGTGTCATAAAATGCTATTTCAGATGTCATATGATTTTTTATATTTATAAAAGCCGGAGACCAAATACCTGCAAAAATATTATGGATTATCTGTGTTTGGTCAAGAATGGAAGTACATATGGTATTGACTTGAAGCGTCGTTTTCTGTGCCGGTTCATACACAAAAAAATTCTTTCAATTCTCGTTTGGTATGTATGAGTTAAATGAGTTGAGGAAAACTAAAACAGGTGAAGATTCCTAAACTGAAAACAGAAAAGAGAATAATGTTTTGGAAAAACATGTGGTAAGCTATGAAATCTAATTCGTTGAAGTTAATTTCAGTACTGATTAACAATTGAGTTTAATGTCTATAGGAATTAAAGCAAATCCATTTTTTTTCTTATACAATGCTATCCCTAGAAAGTAATAATTACATCAATCTGAAGAGTTGATCGATTTTCTTCCATGTTTTTCGTTATGTTATACATTCATAATCATTGAAATCAAATGCCGGAATAAGTTGTATTTTAAAATCGACAGTGTTTTAACTTATTGTGTCTCACCACTTTATTTATACTAAGTTCTCACAAAAAATCTTAACCTCAAAAATCGTCTTTTTTGGATTGAATGGTCAGTAATGTCTTGTCACTAATATTTCTTCACTTGCCCCATCTAAAGTATGTTTGTTTTAGTTTACCTGAAATTCTGCTTACTTGGTCTGAACTGTATCAGAAATATATATTGTACGGATAGATAACAAAGCAATAACTACTTAAAAGTTCTTTTTAGTATTCACTAAAGTTAAATGCCTGAACTGAAAGTAGCTCTGATAAATACATTCCCCAATATATATATAAAAGATATTTAATTTAAATCCATTATCAAACTTTAGATATTTGTTCGAAGATGACGTATGATAGTGTTCCTTAGCAGTGTGACAGGAAAGTGATAATGGTTGTTGGGTATATTTTGAAATTGCGCGCGAGAATATAGGTCTTAGAACGAGTGTTGTTTGGTGAAGCGCCAAGTTGTCAGCTGATTTTTCAGTATATTCTGGAAGGCTTATGTGAGTGTGTGTCTTTGCTGGAGGGAAGGGTACGTTGTGTTTTGTTTACATTTTTCTTCAAATTCTATGAATATAATCCCTTCCATGGATGGTGGCCATGGATGTTGTTCGCCCAACACTTAACGGCTCCGAGAAACCGAATCACTTACAGTAAGCACTTTCCGTTCTATAGTTCATGAAGTTTTCTTCCTCTTCATTGTATTCTCCAGTTCTTCAGTTTTTGTTCTTTTAAAACATAATGGTTTTGACTTTTCTAATATTATCTTTAATTTACAGTTTTCTCTTAATTATCGTTTAGTCAATCTTTCTTACCTTATCTTACTTGATTTGACATAATTTGAGTGTAATTTGCGGAGTATAAAAGCACTATAGATTTCCATGCTCTTACTGATTGGACTGCATGTAACAAATAAATGTTACCGAATGTTGCCCTAGCTATAGGAAATTTTCTTTTACCATAAGCTGTCGTTGAATGACTCTATTTTTGTTTTTAGTTATCTCCGTGATTTTCGAGTAGAAGCATGTCCGCAATTTAAACAGCACCAGTGCCAACAGCATCGCCCATATACTTGTTTTAACTGGCATTTTGCTAATCAGCGAAGACGTCGTCCTGTAAGACGATCGGATGGTACTTTTAACTACTCGGCCGATGTGTACTGTGATAAATACGACGAAAATACTGGTATATGCCCGGATGGAGATAGGTGCATTTAAGAAATTTCAGTAAAATGTAATTTATTTAAACCTCGATTGAAGTTCGTGAATTGTTGATACTTGAAAAATACCGAGTAAGACAATTAATGCGAAGTCTTTATATATTACTTGAACCGTTTTTGTTTACAGTTGTAATTTTTTACACCGCGTAGCGGGAGATGTAGAACGCAAATATCACTTGCGATATTATAAAACAGCTATGTGTGTACATCCAACAGATGCACGTGGTATTTGCGCTAAAAACGGTCCTCACTGTGCGTTTGCGCATAGTGTTCAGGATCTTCGACAAGCCGTGCACGATTCTCAGGAAAGTCAGAATGGCGCCTTATTAGATCCAGAAAACCGCGAAAGAACTAGTTTTGTTGTGGAAGATCCTCTTTGGCATGGTATTGTACTTTGATTCTGAATTATAAACATTTTACATGCTTTTTCCTTTTCTTTTCTCGATGTCTTATTTTAAAATCACAATGGTTTCATTCATTAAAGTGGAGTGTTTACAGACCAAGTTCATGTCTTGTCATGCTATAAAACCGAACAGTGCAAAAAACCAGCTCGCCTTTGCCGTCAAGGCTATGCATGTCCATTTTACCACAACTCGAAAGATCGTCGAAGACCACCAGCTGTGCATAAGTATCGGTGAGATTCTGCACATTTTAAGACAAGAGAAAATTGCTGGATTGCTGTTTTATTTCTATTTTATCTCAAATTCTGTTAAGATCAACTCCATGTCCGACAGCGAAGTCAGCAGATGAATGGTTAGAACCAGAACAATGTGAGAATGGTGACGACTGTGGATACTGTCATACAAGGACCGAACAACAGTTCCATCCTGAAATATATAAGTCAACGAAATGTAATGATATGCTTGATCACGGTTATTGCCCACGTGCCGTGTTTTGCGCATTTGCGCACCACGATTCCGAGTTGCATGTACAACGTGCCCCATATTATCGGTCAAGTAACAATCCAGATGCACCCATGCCGCTGAAACAGAGTAGCAGCTCTACTAGTTCAGGGAACGCAGAATCTACAGCTTCTCCTACGATCCGACCAGGTTGGAATAATGTGATTTTCGCTCTTAAAGAAGTTTAATTTGATTTGTTTCCTTCGTTTAATTAAAACTTTTACCAATGATCATTTCAGAAAATCATGGAATGCAAACAACAACATCAGCTGCAACACCTACCTATTCAGTAAGGGCTTCCTATTGTGATATATTTCCCTGATAAGGAATGACAACAAATCAAATGAGATTACAGGCAGTTTTGAAGCAGAGGCAAACACCAGGAAAAAGCGTTTCATCAGGTGGTAGCGACGAGGGGTCTCAAAGCAGTTATCCGAAAGCTCCAGGCTTTGAACGTGTTCAAATTTCGGCAAGTCTTAATTCTAACTTCCTAGTCTTCGAATTGTATATGATAGCCTATACCCGTCATTTTTCACTGATCTAATCCGTTTGGACCGGATTACTTTTCATTTTTTTTAGCCGCAATGCGTAGCGGATAGCGCTATTGGTCGCATACGAACTTCTTCATTAAATATGGGGCAACTAGATTTAGGTAAATTTACTTTCCAATATTAATGTTAATTGTAGTCCTGGGTAATACTTTGGCTTTCTAAAGTTCACTATATCGGATAGGGTTCAGTTTTCGGCCTTCATCGAGTACAAGTTCATATTACAGTTAATGACTGGTATTGTAAACAATTATCAGGTTGTTTGGATGAAGTAAAGAAGTTTTTTAAGGATATTCAGTAACAAGTGCTAACGAAGCTTTAGTGTCATCGTTGCCCACTTTTTCGTCGTTGAATGCTATTGCTCGTTCCACATCAGATGCACCAATGCGCACATTGCCTGCAGCGATTGATGAACTTTCTTTGGATGAACTGTCTGGCAGTGCACTTTCTCCTATATCCGAACAAAAGGAACACAAATTTTTGTCTGATTTTTTCACCAGTCCGCGTAAGCTTTGCTTTTTTTCTGAGTGTTACTGTTTCGTTAGGAATCTTTGAACTGCTATGGTATCAGTGTTGCCTTTGTTACCAAAATAATCTGAGCATAAAGAAAGTCGTACACTGTGCCCTCTATGGTAAAAAATAATTCAGCCATAAATTTGCATATGAGTGCTTTAGATTTATTGAAAACAATGCCTGAAAAATAGCCTTCTGTCTTATTTCCTGCACTCCAATTTTTGATTACGCAAAATAAATTTAGTGGAAGAGATGGACTGTATTTAGCATGATATTAGACGTTTTATGAAAATAAGATTTCGAAAGCATTATTAGGACAGGAATAGAAGTAGCAAAACGATGCAAATCCCCAATTCGAACTCTTCTTTTTTCAGCTATGACATCTTCTTCACCAATGCAAATCCCCAATTCGAACTCTCCATTTGGCTCTCCACCATTAGCTTCCCTTGGCGAGTCATTGTTTCAGCAGAATAAAAGGACTATCGATTTACCTTCAGCTACTACACAGTTGAAGGGGTTAATGGGATTACCAGGATCGCTGAATTCAGGTATGTTTCCATGTTTTATACTATTCATGCACATCCGTATCATTTTGTACATCAAGCATCGAACACGTCGATAATTTTAAAATTGTTCTTTTCTAATAAAGAAATAAGGACAAACTTTGCTTTTTTTTTTAATTCTCGTCAACGTTCACAGACTTGTGTTATGAAAAACCAATGTCTCCTATATATTAAAATTATTTATCTGTTATCTAAGGGAATCTTGGTAGTATTTTCATTAGTTTTTAAAAACATTCTATAGATGCCTGCTTTCTCTGGTTATTGTGATTGATTGAGTACGTTAATGAAGACTATGTGGGGACAACAGAAATCGGTTTGGTTGATCTTTCTAGATCTTTTGAAAACGGATTTATCCATACCGCAACACGAAATGAGCAAAGAGGAGTTACAAAAAGAATTAAAGAGGAAAAGTGAGGAACTCGTTGCCCATCATCAGAAATTAACTGCATGGGAAGAAGGTCTGAAACAAGCACGTCAGGCTTGTGAAGCATGGAAAAAAGATGCTGAATATTATCGTTGTGTTGCGGAGCAAGCAGAAGTTGACAAGTCAAAAGCGTTATATGAACGGGATCAGGTTGTTGTTGCATCGATTTGAAATTTAAATTTCTGATTTTAACTGCACTGTATTTTGATATTCTTGCTATTTGTTGACTGGTGAGTTCATTATAACGGATTTCCTTTTTGGTAAATATATTTTTATAGGCACTGTTACAACTTGATTTGCTCAAGCGTGAATTGCGAATAAATACAGCAGTTCGACCGCCGTCACCGATAGATTCTTTACAAAATTTCTCATCTCTAGGATCATTCAATTTGTTTGTACCGGTGAGTTCCATTTTAAATGTATATTTTTTAGCCGACTTTTGACACACCGGAAAATGGTCCTTCTGTTGTTTATTTAATGTTGGACCTCTCTTAATTCATTTCGTGATCTCTGGTATTTCCAGTGGCATCACTGGAATTCCGTGTTACCTTCCAATCTAATTGTGGGATTTGTATTACTTTTGTAGATTGAAAACGATGTTCAGAACGGAAGCGGTGGTCCGGTATGCGCACGTTGTGGACGCGAAAAAAGGGCCGACTCTAGGAATCCTTCTTGCCGCCTTTGCTGTAGTTGATTTTTTAACAGAATTCCCATATATGTAACCATAGGAAAATAATTTTGTTTAAAACGTCTTTTACACTTTCCCTTCCTGCCCCCTTCTTGACTAAGTAAATACATTTAAAGTTTTAGCTTTTCTGTGAACTTGCGCGGTGCTTTTTTTCCTTATTTTCGTGTAAGCAGTTCTTTTTTCCTTTTGATTTTTTCTTAACTTGTTCATTTGTTCCCAACTTTATTTTCAAAAAGGTGTTTTACTTCTGTGAAAAGCTTTATTGTACATAAGTTTCTCCAGTAGGGCATTTATCATCCATCATTCGCTTTGTAATGCGGTCAAGATTTAATCTCACTTCAGTCAAATCCGATAATTTCTTTGGTCAAACAGGATTTCGTGTAGTGCCGTCTTTGAAATCGGAAAATACAAAAGAGCGGAAAACATGTAGATTCACTAAATTAACTAGGGCAGAATTATGAGGCAGTCAGTGTTATCTTATTCACTCATTTTCAAGACTGGTTCTTAAGGTAATAGTTACAAATAGATTTACTAAATTACGGTGTCCTAAAATCCAATGAATCAGGAGATGTAATTTTTAATTATATGCCATCAAATGTTTTGGAGTGGGGCAGGAGAAGAGGAGTCTTAACAGTTTTAGATTTAAATCTAGGTTTTTGCCTGTTACAACTGATTGATACGTCCTTTTCATGTATAGAAATATGTGATTGTTCGGATTTCGGATATTTGTTACTTAAAATAAACCGTCGTTTTGTGAGTATATGCAGTTTCCAGCTTCATGAACTTCGAACGCAGTTAACCCCTTTCGCGTCATTTTCACTGTTAGATGCAAGTCAAGATATCACTGAAACCGGATCGTTCATCGGCGAATTCAGTTTTACTCTGCTTTAGGTGTATAAGGGTTTTTACAGTGCGTTCAGAAGAATAGAATACGAAGAGCGTGAGAATGCTTAGGAGCAAATCCTAGAATCCTTGGGAAGTTTCACCTGTTCCCTATGGATCGTGTAAATCTCCACGTTTGTTTGTATATTGATCGCTCTCCTGGTTTCCATAGTGCTTGGTTAAATATCATGAATATTTGCCAAATATCCATATACATTTGTGATAAGACCAATGGGAAGCAATAGGGCGATCAGGAGGAATGTTGGGGATACGCAAATCCGAGCAATTTTGCTCGCACAAAATTATCCGTTAATTCCAGATTAATTAGCTGGAGGAAAAAGCTAAGGGTTTCCTACATGACTTCTGGTAAAATTATGCATAAATTTAAACAGAAGTACTAGTTACATAAATAATAGAGGTCAAAAAACAACAGTTCAAGTTGCTCCAATATACACAACAAAAAGTTGCCGCACCAGCGGCGCTTTTTCGTAATGTCATCGTGATAATGTTCCGTGAAATGAGAGATTCAGAAGACAATATTTCAAGCGTGTGTCGCAGAATGCGTGGGAAACTGGTTTCTCGACGTTCTGCAACAAAGTTCCAAATTTATGATCTAACTCTAAAACCTATTTAACTGCAAGAAACACAATATTGACTCCTTGCATGACTTACATGAATTTTAATTAAAAGAATAGGAATTTTCTTAATACTGTATAAGAACATAGCTCGTTAAAAAAACAGTGGTACCAGCTAATGCTCCTCTTTTGACTTTTTTTCGCTCTGAGTCACAAACCAACTGAGTCCAATTATTGCAATGAATGAAAATCCCAGCTGCTCAATACATGTAGACGGTTGGGTGAGGAAGGTATACATTAAAACAGCTACAGAAATGTAATGCTGCAAGTGTGAACAGACATAACAGACAGGAAACAATTTAATAAACCACAAAGTTAGTTTCTAGAAAGAATCAACTTTAATTTTCAAAGAGATTTTGATTATAACATGATATGTAATAATAAAAAAAGAATATCAAATCCATACTACTTCTGAAGGATGATTAGAAATTATAAACAGTTACACCAAGATGAATCTATTAAGATTCAGTCTTCAGTCCTAGTCTTCAGTTTTTTTGATGCAACAAAAATTAGAGTGCATCACAACACAAAATTTAGTTGAAAAAAACTAATACTTCAGACCACATCAACAAAAACTCACTAATAATTCTAGAATAATTAACATGGTCGCTCGTAATTCTATAAATCTTGACTCTTTTAGAAAAAGCAGAAACCCAATGTGGAGATGAATGTAGCTATTTCACCTACATCAAAAGTAATGAATATAAATCAAAAGAAACAAATAACACTGAAACAAACAACACAATTTAGAGAAAAAATCAGTCTATTCAATTTCGCCGTACATTTTTATGAAGGAATAAAATTAATGAAACATACTGCTTTGAAGAAGTGGATTTTGCCCACCGAAAGTCGAATAAGCTTCAAGAAAGCCATCCAGTATGCTGGGACACGAGCTGGATCTTCATAAACAGCAAATAAACCATAACTAATTATATTCCATATTGAACACACACCAAATGGAGCATAAACCAAAATTGCATAAAAATGAAAAATAACCAATATAACTGGTTGCGAGAAACTAGAAAGACTAACAGTCTTTAAAGAAATCGCTGTCTTCAGAAGTTGCTGAAAAGGAAACAAATTAATTTGCAAATAAAAATTTTCCAGTCAATATTAAAAGTTGAGGAAATTTAAAATGAGAGGAAATAAAGGTGTTGTTTTTTTCACTACTTACAACGATTCTAAAAGGACTGGTGCTATGAGATCATAACTTCATTTCACTACCAAAATAATGCTGCAATATGTAATTTACCAGTAAACTGGACAGGACGACTATTAACAACGCAAAAAAACCATTGTATGAATAATTTATAAATAATGATATTGCAACAACTGCCAATCCATTCAAGTCAAAACATGTCGATTTCACAGATCTGAAATAAAATTTGCAGCTTTTCCATACCAAAGGACAGATCACTAAATCAGAAAAACTGTATCTTTCACTAAATTTAGGACTAATCGGAATTATGCAAGCTGCTTTAACGATTTCAATAGCCTCCATAGTATAAAACACAAACAAGACAAAGAAATGTCTTCGAGGATTTGTTAAAGAGGACGTTTTGAACATTTCATACTACCAAATAAACCTAGTTAGTTTGCTAACTGCGTTATTACATTTTTCAGCGATTAATAAGCACACATGGACACCTAATTACATTATGTATGCGCATATCGTATCACATTCAACAAGTGTTTATTAGTGAAATTAATGAATTCATCGAAAAACGAATTAAGCACCTTTCTGAATACCTGTTCTTCATTAGTCGAATAAATAAATCTGTTAGTTTCTGAATAACATAAGTAAAGTATGAAATCAGCAAAGACGAGATCAACAAAGTAAACCAATCAACTCTGTAAATACTATAAAAATTACAAGGGTTACTAGGTAAAAGAGATTTCTTCACGTTCCCTCAGGAAAAGAGCTTATTAACATTAAAACAGTAAGGCATGATTTCACGTAATTTCCCATATATATACATATATATATATATACACATATATATAAAACCAACAAATTACTCCAATAAATCATGGATGTGTGACAAGTCAAGACAAGGCATATTATTTTGCAATCTCGGATATTCGAATAATATTCCTCTGAAAATGAGAGTAAGAATATCTTTTTCAACCATCAGTATTCTATACAAGAAATCTTTCAGTACTGAAATTCTCATTTAGTTAACATAATATAACATAACTTAAAACAACATACCAGTTAAAGTGCAAATCGAAAATGTACTGAGGATATATATACTTAACATGTAAGGGATGATGGATCCATACATTCGAAGCATCTTAAATTTAAAAAAAAAAAAAAAAAAGGCAAACGAACGACGAGACGAAAAAATTCTATACTTGATTCTAAATAGTTCTTGCCTACCTATCTTACAAATGATTTTATAATTGAATGCATAAAAATAATTTAAGATTGCCCATCTAAAGAGCCTAGAAAAAATTTAAAATGAATTTTAATTTCACACTGATGTAATTATATAAAATATACCACAATCATAGTATCTAAATAACTGATATCCAGGCGTGCATGGAAGCGGCAGCGTTGACTTAATATGAAAAATATTTCCGCTTTTGTTTCTTCCTTACTAAGCAAATGCCCAATTACATGAAGTTCCTTATTTGAACCAAGACTGCTTATACGTCGTAGATCCTGACCTCGGAACTCAACTTTTGCGAACCATTCTGTTAAAAACTAAATTAACAACAATTTTTGCAACTGTTTAACTGAATCAAATTAATTCTGGAGCTAGATGAGCCATAAAGTATATAAACTAGGTCAATCAAAAACAAAACCTTCAGTGCTATGAAAGAAAATGATGAGGAAAATCATGCCTGACTTACTCAAAACTTGCTAAGTTTAAGAACTGAACAGTGATGCTCGAAAAATCAGATAGAAAACATTTTTTTAGCTTTAGTAACGATGAATAATATGTAACTGCTTCTTTAAAAATTCAGGAATAACAAAAACTACCATTTGTACGCATACATGATTCTAATTCAATTGATATAACAATGGCAATAACTGGAGTTCCGAAATAAACTGGCAATAACACAGCAGATTCACGCTCTTCAAAGTCGGCTTCCCATAAAAATGTGAAGCAACCTTTCAGTAGTGACAGTAATTCAATATGCACAACCTAAAACATATTAAAGTATCTGAAATCTAGTACTGAATCTAATAAGACGTATTTATGAGGAACTACCACAAAAATTTATTAATTTGGAGCTGAATTTTAACATAAGTTTCCAAAATGGTGTAAAAACCTCAAAAGCTTATATGTTGAAACCATAAATATTCCCGAAGTTTTTCAATTAAAAAAAAAATCAATGCTCAACAAATGCATAACGATTCGATACCATACAGAGTTAAACTTTGCAGGATCCTCTTGAAGTGCAACGGCTTTAAAAAACTTTCCAGGTTTCAGATCTACCGAAATCTGTTCTGTAACATTTGAATGAACAAGTGTGTAAAACGTTTGTCGCAAACTGTTCAAATTATAAATAGGTTCTCCGGATGATGTCCACAACGAACTCCCAATACTTCTTTCAATGAACAACCAGCTGTTCTTTGGAAATGATAGGACGAATTCTTTTAAATCTCCACCATTATTTTTTACCTGACAGGTGAAATAAGCTTAAATTCACAAGTGTGTGAATGTAGTCACGATTATAAGAAAACATTCAAAAATATGATTACAATTAAAGCTGGTTATTACCGTAGCAGGCCAAAGAGTATTGAAAATGATAACTAGTCCAGGATAAAGAAAAGACATAATATAGAAGAATGGGGTAGTGAATTTAATAAAAACGAAATACTGAGTGGGTTCAATAAACAAGTACAGATGAAAATAATTAATTATCTTACAAGAATATAGTATCCATAACTAAGTACTTATACAGTTTTTTATACCTACAAAGATCAAATCATTCCTGATGACAATCGCAGTGCTTGTACCAACTTTCATACGTGTTAGCTCCCGAAGAAGCCCATCAGCATCAAAAAGTTGCTTAACAACGTTATCAGCATGTTTTTGAAACGAAATTGGATCGTAAGCATATTCAACCACCAGGCGGGAGATATACCTGGACAATAATTGAAAAACATTTTTAAAATTTAGCCTAGTCCAGAAATTTATCGATGAAAACATCATATGTTCTAAATCTGGTAAACTAGAACAACTACTAATAAGTTATGGTAGTTGGATAACCCAAATGTGTATAACAAACCTAAGCAACTGGTTACACCAAACAATACAAAGATGATCGGTCTCTAGTTCAATGCCATCAATAGCGGTAGTCGAAATATGGCGAATACCATTATCAAGAGTAAAATGTTCTGGCACAAGATGATCTTTCAAACCACCCGAAACTGATAAGACTAAGAGACTGGCCAATTCTTTTTCATGCTCTCTCCAATTCTTATGCATTCGGTCATAAATATTTTCCAAATACCAATCAAAAACCATTGCTGAAAAGACATGGAATGCAAGATACAATTAAATCAGATGCTACCATTTTTTAATAGAAACTTCTAAACATACGTGCATTTTTGTGCGGTGTCCCCAAAGTTACAATAAATGCAATTCGGCTAGGATCGAAACGAATGTTATGCAACAGCGATCGTATAACAATACCACCCATTGAATGACCAACAAATATGATACCATGAGGTGGGGGTGAATACATGGTCCATATATGTCTTACCACCAAATCGAGATATTTGATTTGCCGTTCCAAATACATACCAGACAGACCTGACAACTCCTAAAATTGAAATATCCGAAAAAAAAAAACTTTAACAAATAAATGAAATCAAGTTTCAAGTTAACTTGAATCCTCTTCTTGGCACATACGACGTTAAATCATTATTCATATTTCATAAGACCCAGAAATGAGATCTCTAAAAGCAAAACTTCATTGGAACGAACCTCGTTAAAATCAATGGCAAAGACATCGAATGTGAACGGTAAATTCCTACTCTCGGTCTTATTGTGGAGTATTGACCCTAGAGAACGAACTTGCTTGGAAGAACCAGCACTGCCAGGAACAAAAATGATAGGAATTCCACTAACCTGTCTGGTTCTCCTACAATAAAAAATGAAGTCAAACCAAACATAGTTGATATGCATTTCCCAGCACCTTAATAAATTAGGATTTTAAAAAGTAAACTATACATGTAATTGCGAGCATATTCCCCTTCACCATATAAAATCGTCGAGTAACCACTAAAATCATTCGAAAACAGATATTTAATATCTTCGGTTTGATCATGCTTCAATTTTGTGAGACCAATATTAATGCGCTACAATGTCAAATCACTTAGAGCACTTTTAAATTCGGAAAATAACTTCAAATTATATACAAAATAATCTTGAAAATCTGCAAAATGTGTACCATGAAGTTCATAACACGATACATATAAGTCATCTCACACTGATTTATTCGCATCCATGGTCGGTTTCCAATCATATATAACAAACGAAGTGTGACCACTACGGAAGTCGCAAATAACAAATTCTTCGTATAGACTCTCATGTATCCGTGGACTTGTAATTGCAAATTAGAATTTTAATGACAGTCACGATGCAAAAACAACATAATACTTTCAAAGTCGTGCATCAAAACACACAAAATCTGATAATTAGCAAACCAGTGCATCTTATGAATACACTCACTAGTACGACACTGATTACTCTTAAAAATCTCGAACAGATGTTAACCAACGAATCCTACCATTTTACAATACTTACAACTTTCGTACCTACCTTCGTGTATCGGTGGACCATGCCTTACAGTAGTAAAAACCAAAAATTTGCATTTACATGGCCTCTTATTGATCTATAAAATCCACTTAAAATTTAGCTTTCTCAAATTTCAAAAAATGCAATAATTGTCTGTTTTCTCGTCCATCAGCGATATTTCCTATTCAATAAGCGATATTTCCTATTCCTTGGTTGTGACTAATCTTGCCAGAAGCAGCAAAGAAAAAACAGGAAAAATACGAAACGCTGAGAATTGTCTAATTCATCAACATTTTTTGATTTTTGAACTTTTTATCTAAAAAAAATTAAAAATCGCCAAAATTTTTGTGGAAAATTCCCCTCATTGGAAAATTTTTCTGTGGAAGATAGTCGATTTATTATTAGCACTAACTCCGTAACGATGCGGTTTTGGCACATAAGTCACCGTAACACACTTCCCAATAGTCCCGAAATCACCTCATGAAAATTAAAGGAATTTATTGTCGTAGTGAGATATTTTGAGAATTAAGCAAAAAGTATTTTCCGAATCGCTCACACATTCAGTTTCAAATCTTTACTCCGTGTGCATATTGTAGGGAATTCAAGGTAATATAACAGATCTTTCAATGCAATGAAAAAAAAAAAATATAGGCGCACTTGTCCCATGATACCATAAACATGCAAGAACAAATCCGTCCGAATCTGCATCCCCATCGAAGACAAACACCACATTTTTGGCTTTGGAATGCAAATTTTATAAGACGCACTGTGAAATTTTAAATCTTGCTAAAGAACATTTGAAAAGATTTTCCGCCGTTTTCTAAAGCAGTAATGATGGAATTACCTTTGCAGAAACGTACGTTGGTTTTTTGACTTAAGTGCTCCCAGGTTCCTACTCGGTGAGTACTTTTGCAGCAGTTTTCTGCCCATTTCATTAACATTCGTTGCCGACTCTTCTTGTGATATATATAATTATACCAATGGAAAGGTCTAATTCTAATTTAGTTGGATCCAAAATCTGAAATAAAACTATGGTTTGATTCTTATATTAGATCACTTAAATTCTATTCCAATAGGATCAGTATAACTTCATTGTACCGCTCATGCAATAATGTTAGCACAAAACAATACTTTTGCTATATTTATCAGAATATTAAAGTTTTTGTACATTACCAGTTCTTTAAATTTGGTGTCAATCATTTATTAAATAAAATTAAAGTAAAGAAAGGTTATTATCAATCGAATCGATAAGTGTAGATAAAAATGACCCACTTCAAAAGTTCACAATGTCGTGAGTCGTCCTTGAAGAATCGCATTAAGAAACTAAAAATAGAAAAAGATTGGGTTATACAACCTGAAATCATGTTATCAGTATTTTAGAGTGAGCTATGATATACGTTGGTTTTCAAGATACTTGTAAGTTCTTTTGCGTTCCTTTCGTCAAAAAAATACATTGCTCGGCATAATGGAATTGTTTGCTTTTGTACTGCTTTTTTTCCTTGCAATATTTGTCTGAAATAAACTTCGCATCAATTGTTTATCAATTTCTCAACTGATCTGTTTTTTAATATTTGCCTAGCTAACTGATTTATCCATTACAAGAAATATTGCTGAAAATATGTACATTGTAGATAACACAGCTTACTTTAGGTTTTGTCAGGCCGATAGAGGATACTTTGCTTGGTTTCAGTGGTAGCGTACGTGTCGCTAAACACTAAACTACTATATGAGAGTAAGAAATACGATATATGAAATTTTACAAGTAATGTTTGTACCTTGAGCTTTTTGTTTTAAGACCGATTACTCTTTAGCAGTGCTATCATGTAACATTTTTTATCTACTACATATATGTTGTTTATTCATATTGCTTGCTATAAAGAGGTCATTAATAAGGTGCCATTATTTTGTATTATCAATAAGGCGGCATTGTTTTCACTAAGCGCCAAAAAGGGGAGCATTGTTTGTTTGATCTAAGAACAAAGATAGATCAACGAGTCTTCGCCTCTCGACAAGTTTGGTAAAGGAAACGACGGATTCGCTTCCGACAAGTTTGTGATACAACTACGATTCGTCTCTGTCAAATCATTGTACTTTATTTCTTCTAATAAAGGAATTATTATATTTCTCTGTTATTCCTTTTACACTTCATCCAGCGAATCATCCCGAAATCAACAACGTCTCCCGAAAAGTAATGTTCTTAAATCTTCAAATTTTTCACAACAGTACATAGGCTAGGCATAGCTGGATAAGTTTTTTCGCATAACACTTGGATTTGCATAAATCTAAAAATGCATTGGGAATGAAGCACTACTTTGCATTCTTTCAGAATGTTCAATAATTTAGAGCAGAACATATGTCCTATCAGGAATTTCTTTGACTAATGATGATGTCCTTGTAGTTTTTTAGATGATAGAAACGAATACTCGAATAAAAACTTTATTGCTCGGCTTTATGAGAATTATTAAATAGTATCAAATAATATCATAGACAGTTTATAGCAGAGAAACTGGTTGGAAGTTTCCCTACGTTAAAGATTCTTCCGGTGAGGCGGGAGTGCTGAGACGAATCGAGTAAAGGCTGCTGTGACTAAAGACTGATCCAGACAGTGGATTTTTTTCTATATAGTCGACTTTGATTCCAACGGGAGACCTTTAGATGAGTGAATAAATTATCAGGCATAATGACATTTTTACAGCATATCATCAATACACACAAGATTAATTGCAAATTGGAAATGTTTTATGATGATTCATACAAGCCGATTGTTACGGTCATTCAGTAGTCTTTAGTCTATAGATTACTATCTTATAGACTTAAACAAATTGTTTCGACATATTAAAAAATCGCCTCGTCTTTTCTGAATTCCGACTGAAAGAGATGAAGACCTTCGGAAGGAAGAACATGAGGATTATAGTGAACTAAATCTTGATTAATGAGAATTTTATGTTCCTTGTCAATTTGTTAAAAATGAATGCGAATATGTATTTGCTACAGACCAGCAGCTCCCGTTTGATAAATTACCCATGCTGTGATTATTTCCTTCTTCTAACGCACCAAAAATCTGTTCAAGCATATAAAAAAATTTATAACTTTTGAGTAGACATACTTATTTCTGACATACTTCTCGAAATAGCTTTTAAAATGTTCCAGACGCTACATGTTTCGAGTCGAAAAATGCATTTCGTTTATTGAAAAGTGTATCTCGTTCATCACTACGCCAATCTTTGCAAATTACTTTCAAAAACATTTTTAAAATTTTACTCGCCGCAATCTCACTTCACAATCAAACTTAAAACCAACAAAAAATAAGAATAAAAATAGGTGAGCAAAATTCAAAATTAGTTTGGAATATCTATAATATACAGTCTTCTAATAGAAAATTAAGAACAATAAAAAAGTTATATTACAAAGAACAAAAAATCACCAAAACACTGATATTACAAAATTGCGAAAAAAAAAAAAAAACAACAACAAAAAAAATCACTAAAACGCCAGTATGATAAAAAAACTACGAAAATGAAAGAAGGAAAACAAACGAAAAACCACACCAAAAAATAATTAAATTCCAAAATAAAAAAAAAAAAAAGTGAAAAAAACAACTTATAAACTCAAACCGTCATTTAAAACCCTCATTTTATACCATAATCGAAATTGTGAAAAAAAATCCAAACTAGAGACTGTTGATTCACGCGTTCGATTTGCTTTATTTTCTACCTTGCATTTCAAATTTATACAGCATTTTTCGTCCCTTATTTTGTTTAATGATTTGTTTAATGCTTAGAAACTTGAACACATCAATTTTCTTCTTCCGAATTAAATGTTATTTGAATAAGTTATTAAGCAATTTTATAGACAAATGAATCGAATGTAGGACAATAAATCACCATTTTGAATTTCTACCTTTTCCTGTCTTCTTTCATTGCAAAAAAAGAAAAACCAAAATAACGAACTATTTTATAACGAAGCATATGTCAGTATACAAAGAAAGAAAGTATAATAACGAAGTGTATGTCACTATACAAAGAAAGAAAAAAGTAAAGAAATGCAACCCTACGAGGTATACATAATAGCGGTATAAAATGTATGACAACCGAAAAAAATTTTTTTGCAAGTAGGAAAATAATCGAAGACCCATATTTACAATTCCACCAAAGACTTGTAAATGGAAAGATCACTAATGCATACACGGGAAACATCCAGATAAAAAAGAAACATATTATAGAAGAGCAACAGGGTCTATCTATCCGTGCATTCCAAAACAAAGGAAAAGAAAAAGAATCTGTATTCTCTATAATTATACTTAATTTTCTGTTATATTCGAATGTTTCCTTTTTATCTGGATTCTTCTTATTTGTTCGGCAACGATTCTTGCAATTAATCTTCAAATTTCTGTTCGTTAGTAACATTTAAAATGTAGTGACAAATTTCCCGACATTAGAAAATAAGTTTTTGAGCAGACAACCATAAACACTGTTCAGGTTATCTTCTTGAATATGTATTGTAACCAGCAAGAAAGATTTGATTTGGAATTATACTTGATTAGCTCAAAATTATGTTTACGCTTAATTTATGCCGAAACAGTATCAGTTGTATAATTGAATAAAGCTAAACGATGTCTCAGTTGCGATGTTCGAGATATCGGATCTTGAGCAATCACCAGCTGCAGATCTCGCATAGTAACTCGTTTTGTGCGAGGGCGATGAGTCTGCACAGAAAGTATAAAAATAAAAATGAAGACAGATGAACTTCGTGTACAACAGGCTAAATTTATTAAAGATGCAAACCTGAAGTGAA